ACATGTCTGAACATGCCTTCATTTTACCCTTATAGCTGAGTGATAGCCTAGCCAGTTACGATACTCAGCTCCTCAGAACTCTGAAAGCAGTGCTCTACTGTTTTCTGGCACTGAGTGCTGTTGATGAGAAGACTAATGCCAATTAAATTTTTGTTCTGTTGTAGTTGACCTGTTGCTCATTCTCTGGAAGCTTTTAGAATCTTCTCTTAGTACTTAATGTACAATAAAATCACAAGTTTATGGTGACATAGGGGTTTATTTTCTTTCATTTTGTGTGGCACTTGGTAAGCCCTTTTACTCTGAAGACTCCTATCCTATCTCTAAGAAATGTTCTATTATTCCTCTCATATTTTTTCTCCTGAGTTTTCTTGTCTCCTTCTAGAACTATTAGTTGACTGTTATCCTCCCTGGATTGACCTGATACAGCTTTTTGACTTTTAAAAATATTTCTTCCCCTTTGTCTTTTTGCTTTACACTTTGGGAGATTCTCCTGACTTTTTCTTTCAGCCTGTTTACTTTTTTTTTTTTTTAACATTTTATTTATTTACTTGTGAGAGTTGTGGGGGTGGGGAGAGGCAGAGGGAAGGAGACAAGCAGACTCCTTGTAGGACCCTGGGATCACAACCCGACCTGAAGGCACGTACTTAACCACTGAGTCACCCAGCCGCCCCTGAGATTTTTTAATTAGTGCAATTAATTATATTTTAAATTTCAAAAAAATTCTTTTTTTGGTCTCTGATTGCTCTATATATCTATATGTAAATATGCAGATATATGTAAACTTGTTTTATGGATACATGGGCTTCTCAAATTTTCCTGAGTTTACTAGAATAGTTTCTCTGAGGTCAGCTTCTTTTTAAATAGTTCTTTTGAAAATTATTAAAACTATACCTTCTCTTGGTTATTTTCCAACAAGGTGAACCAGAAAAATTGCCTAACCTTTGCCCCATTAAAAAAAAACAAGTTCTATTATGAAAAATTTCAAAATATTATGAACTCCATGGACTCACCCAGCTTCAATAAATATCAACTTTCTGCCATTCTTGTTTCACCTATACCTTCACTTCTCCTGTAAATTTTTTTTAAGATTTTATTTATTTATTTGACAAAGAAAGACATAGCAAGAGAGGAAACACAAGCAGGGCAGTGGGAGAGGGAGAAGCAGGCTTCCTGCTAAGCAGGGAGCCTGATGCTGGGCTCCATCCCAGGACCCTGGGATCATGACCTAAGCCGAAGGCAGATGCTTAAGGTCTGAGCCACCCAGGTGCCCCTCCTTTTAATTTTTATAACCAAATTATTAAGTAGTTCACATTGAGTTGGTCATTTGAATTTATTTTTCATTTAGTAAATTATCCCATTAGATCATATCATACACTTTTTCAAAGTCACCTAATCTAATGAATGACAGTATTAAAAATTACAACAAAAAATCCTGACCATTTAACAGAGCACTTTCTATGGCTTATACTATGTCACACTTTACAAAAACACTGGTTCATTTAAGATGATTAATAATGCAGGTGTCTACCTTTTAATCTGCAAAGGGTGTAGAGATGTTGTTTGTTAAAGGATTAGTAAAAGCATTCAATATGAAAACTAATGTGTGGACAAGGACATTTTCTATAAAGAGAAATATGTGTTCATGACTATGTTTCTTGGATACAATAATGCCAACACAGTTGTAGCTGCTGTAATAAGAAAGGACTATTTCTAAGGAAATCTTAGTATCCTCCTAGGGACAAATAATGGCCTTTCAGTGATTTAGTATCAAAGTCACGTCAGTTATAACACCAAATTATAAATAAGATGCTGCTATAAGAACTGAAATATTTTTTCTGTACACATGATTCTAAGATTCACGAATAAACAATTTTAGCAAATTAGGAGCCAAAAGATCTTGTTTATGCCCATAGAAGGCAGAAAATGGATTCTGCTGACTGGAGAGAATTCTCAACCAAGTGCCCCACAACCATTTCCTCTCATTTTGATCTCATTCCACCTCATTCAGCTTTGTGAAGTTTCCCCAGAGCTCTGCTATCATTCACTGGGGAACCAGTACTGAGTAGTTGGAGGAAAGATGGAGATTTGAATCAATGTACTGTTGTTTGATAGCTTTTTGACCATGGGGAAGTTACTTAATTTCTCTAAACCTCAATTTCCTCATTTACAAAATTAGGGAAACAGTATCTCCCTCGTAGGGTACTTGTGAAGATTAACAAATACATCACACTAAGCAAGTAGTATAGGGCCTAGGACTTAACTATGTATAAATGATCAGTATTATTCCTGTGGGATTCACAGGTATCCTCTACAGGTAGGGTGGCAAGATTTAGCAAATAAAAATACAGGATATCCAGGTAAATTTGAATTTCAGGTCGATAATAATTTTTAGTCTAAATATATCCCAAATATTGCAAGGAATATACTTATATTAAAACATTTTCCAGGGACTCCTGGGTGGCTCAGTGGGTTAAGCCTCTGCCTTTGGCTCAGGTCATGATCCCAGGGTGCTGGGATCGAGCCCTGCAGCGGGCTCTCTGCTCAGTGGGAAGCCTGCTTCTCCCTCTCTCTCTGCTGGCCTCTGCCTACTTGTGATCTCTGTCAAATAAATAAATAAAATATTTTTAAAAAATTATCATTGTCTATCTGAAATTAAAATTTTAGCAGGAATCCTGGCAAAATAACTTTTCTTTTAAAAGAAAAATGAGGTGGGACGCCTGGGTGGCTCAGTTGGTTAGGCAGCTGCCTTCGGCTCAGGTCATGATCCCAGCATCCTGGGATCGAGTCTCGCATCCGGCTCCTTGCTTGGCAGGGAGCCTGCTTCTCCTTCTGCCTCTGTCTGCCTGTGCTTGCTTTTGCTCCTCTCTGACAAATAAATAAATAAAATCTTAAAAAGAAAAATGAGGTATAGTAAAAGTTGTGATGAAATTTGATATTATAGGGGCACCTGGGTGGCTCAGTTGGTTGAACGACTACCTTCAGCTCAGGTCATGATCCTGGAGTTGTGGAATCGAGCCCCGCATCCGGCTCCCTGGTCAGCAAGGGGTCTGCTTCTCCCTCTGCCCTTACCCCTCTCATGCTCGCTCTCTTTCTCTCTCTCTCTTTCATTCTCTCTCAAATAAATAACATCTTTTAAAAAGTTGATATTGTATCTGCTCAAACATGGAGGTCTCCTATTCCCCGGTACACTCAGTATTTTCTCTTCTGGGTAATACTCAAGTATCATCTATCAGAGAAATAAATAGTGTTTGTATTTTGGAGTGGAATATCAACTTTTCCCCAAACTGAAATCTATTGGATCAGTTACTATTCTAAACTAGGCATGGGTTTTCAAACTACTTACTGAATTATATTTGTATTTAAATATTTATTTGGAAAACCACAAAGCAGTACATATGAAAATCATATTGAGGACCACCAAAAATATGCAAACTACAAATCTGACAGCACTCAATCTTTGAAACACTATTTGCAAAATGTTCTTGTTAACCATGTTTTCTTTGTGTGTACCAGGTAGTTATTTTCCAAAATGTGCTTGTTATGAGCATGCACAGAGACACACAAGATAAATAAAGCAGATGGGTTTTATATTTTATTTCAATCAGACTGTACTTCTTCACCTCTTACCTAAATGAAAAAGCCTGTTATCAACCCTGCTAATTTGTAGTTAAATTTTTAATGAGATAAAAATAGCTTTGCTAAAGGCAAGGTGGCTGGGAATTATGTTACAGTAATATAGTCTTCTTCTTTTCCATTGGTGAGAGACGTACTCCGTGATTCCTTGCTTCAATAAGCAAAGTGAGGAAACAAGAGATGCCAGAATCTCTTTACCCATTACTCCTTTAAAGCATTTGCAGGCTGTGTTTAAACTTCCAGATGGATTATAATGCAATTATTCCAAAATATAATATGCGTGCTACATTTCCTCGTTCATAATTTTTTATTTGCCAATAAAATAGGATTGGTGCTCCATTTATTTTTCCTTAAAAAACGCCCCTTCTGCCCTAACTCTTCTATTTCTTTCCATTCTGTCACCCCGGTCGCCGTGCCCTGTACTCTTCAGCTCCATCTCGTGTAGAAGAACGTCGGCTGCACCCTCAGCTCCCACCACCGGGAGCATCCACCGCAGTGGGAAAGATGAAAAGCCGGGAACTTTCTGTAGGAATCAACGCTAAACGAATAATTGATTTCCTGTAGACCCTGTCTCGGCAAAAGCAGGTCTTACAGCTGACAGGAAACGCGGGAAAGCCTACATACTAATTTCCTTGATACATTCAACTGAATCTGGAGAAAATTCGACTGTTCAATTACTACTTAGCTATACTTGGGATGGAATTTCCATTGGCCCGCGATTCCCGGTGAACCCCTTCAGAAGAGCCAGGCAAGGACGTTCTCTGAGCAGTAGGATGCCCTACACGAGCTGCCTCACGGGACCCTGCGGCTGACTGAGTCACGTCACAGAGCCCAAAAGAGAACGCCGGAAATGGTGTGCGAGGCCGTTCTGGGAGAGGGTGGGGAAGTCCCCCCCTCGGTGCAGACTACCCCGGCTGACAGGAGCCGTTTCGGTGTTCTCCGGTCCCGCGTCACCTCAGGCAAGAAGTTGATGCCCGGTTGTCCCCAGCATCTCCCCAGACTCCTCCTGCGAAACCTGCGGGTCAGGAGCGCACACCTTTGGCTCGTTATTATAAATTTGCTTATGAAGCCCTCCTGACTTTTAAAGTTGCTTAGTGTGGTTTCTGCTCCTCTGACCAGGGGTAAGGGAGGCCCCAGCGTCCCACGACGGGGCGGGGAGGCGCTCTGCTGCGGGGGGGAGGGGAGGAAAGCGGGGGGCGGGGCCGCGCGGGGCGGGGCCGCGGCCCGGGGCGGGGCGTCCTTGCCGAAACGAGTTGCGCCGGGCGGCCGGCGGGAGGCAGTGGCGGCGGCGGCGGCGGCGGCGCGGGCCGAGCGGCTCGCGGATTGGTTGCGGCGGGCGGAGACGTCAGGCTCCCGCGGCCCGAGCGGCCGCCGGGCTCGCGCGGCGCAGTAAGCTCGAGTGCGCACCGCAGCGAGGTGGTGTCTTCGGCCGTCCTGCTGTCCGCTGCCGCCGGGCTGTGCCGCTTGAGCCGGGACGCGCCTCCGCGCTCCTTGCCGCCTCCATCCCCGCGGCCGCCGCTCCCCTCGCCGTCTGCACACACACCATGACGAAGAAAGAGAAGAAGTCCTTCAACCAGAGCCTAGCCGAGTGGAAGCTCTTCATCTACAACCCGACCACCGGAGAGTTTCTGGGGCGCACCGCCAAGAGCTGGGGTGAGCGGGCGGCGGTTGGGCGCCGGGGCCGGCCGCGGTCCGGGGGACGCTGGGCGGGGTCGGGTGGGAAAGGAAAGGCGGGAGATGGCTCCCCGCGCGGGGCCCTTAGAGCGGCCGCAGAGTCCGCCGCCCACAGCGCTTTTCGGCCGGGGCTGCCAGACTCTCGTAAGGGCGGCGACGGAGGAGGGGCCCCGCGGCCCCATTCATTTCTAGTGTGGCGGGCGGGCCGCCGCTGGTTCCCGAGGCGGCAGGGCCCGCAGGCAGCCCCCGCCGGGCGCCGAGCGCACGTGCTGCTCCGGCCTCCCGCCCCCGAGCGGCGCTGGAGGCCAGGGACCCCTGCCCGAAGCCGAGCCCCGAGCGTGCGGGGGCCGAGCGCCCGGGCCTCCCTTTGTACCGAGCGCGCCGTCCGGGAGAGGCCCTGGCAGAGGCTGCCGGTGGCGCCCAGCGGTTCGGGGAAGCCAGACCCTGCCCCACGCCCGGGGAGAGGAAATTTCCATTCTCGCCGCTATCTTGTGACTCGTCCACGCTGCCACCCCGGTCGGAAGAGTGCGAGTGAGTGTTAAGTGGGTGGGTGGCACGAATGTGCCACGGTGAGTTCATTACCCAAGTACTTGGTACACGCAAATGCTCGATTTTGGACAGTGAAAAGACCGTAAAAAGGTTGATTCCTGCCTGATTCCTTTTTAATTACAGACGTTTTCTTCCTAGCAAATAGGCTTCTTTTGGGGAACGTAAATCCCAGGTGGCACAGTTTTTTGTGCCTTCAAAGCGTGTGATGGTTGTCTATGTTTTTTTGTGTATGAGTTCTTTGTTTTAAAACAATATTTAAACCATCCACCAATGTAGTACTGCTTCAGGGTGTCTCTCTCTTTTTTTTCTTCTGAATAAGGACTAGTGCTTTTTTCTTTTTTTATTTTTTTCCTGCCTTCTGAAAAACGTTTTAGTGGGTCTTGACCTCTTTTTTTCTGGGTGAGAATAAATTTCTAGAGTGGGAGAACTATTCGGGCACGACATCTTTAAGAGAAGCATGAAGAAAGTAAATTAGCTATGACTCAGAAAATAAACCGTTGCTACTGACTGAAGTCGGCTCCTCCGGACTGGAAAGTCGGCTTAAAGTCCTATCACAAGCTGAAAGGGGCCTTGGAGGTTTTTTAGCCCAATTCCCAGTTTAGAGATGACAAAAATGAGATCTAAAGAGGTTGTGATTTTGCTTTGTGTGAAATTACATATTCCACAGAGCCAAGAAAAGAACCCAGTTGTCCTTTAGTCCTAGTCCAGCGGTTTTATTATTTTACAGATGCCTTGCCTAACTAACACTTCATGATTTTTATTTAGATAGCTGTCTTTTGGGACCCCACTAATGTGAAGAGGAAATATATCTTGCATCCGGAGTTAAAAGTGGGGGGGGGGGAATGGTGAAGTTATTATTGCTTCTAGAATGTGCTACCTTTTTGCTAAAGGAATTTTTGAGTGGTGGAGAGCCATTAATGTTTGTAGACTATCTTCCTCAGTGCCTTCTCATTTCCAGTAATAAGTACCTTCATTTTTTGTTAGAATGACATTTCTTACTGCAGAGTGCTTCTTGTCTAACCTTTGTATTTATATGATGTTGAGGTTGAGATTTTATTGGGTATATGCCCTTACATAAATAATGTGCACAGTGGTCAAAGGTAGTCAGTCATTATATAAGGGCAGCCACAGTACTACAAGTTGCGATTTATTTTAGAAGGATTAAGGCAAGACCTTTTTTCAAAATTGAAAATAAATGTTAACTCTTAACAAATAGTACATTTCTGAGTTTATTGGAATAGTAGTAAACCAGTGCAAAATGTCATAAATTATCTGCAATCTTATCTCAACATAAGGGCATTTCTCCAATGATATACGTGGGTGTGGTTTGAAGAGGCTGAAGTCCATACTACATTCTCCAAGGCTGTGTGTCCTCATGCGTGGGGAGTCTGCTTGGAAATAGGGGTATCTTGCTCTAATTTTCAGAAAGGCACTGTACAGGCTAGCTGCCTGATCTCATCACTACAAAGATGTCCGCTATTAATATTTTGGTATACATCTGGGCAAGCTTCAAAGGGTGTTATGTTATTTTTTTTTAAAGAAAAGAAATCATTCAATAAGTGTTGCTTTATAATTTTTTTTTTAAACTTATTTTAGAGAGAGAGCTGGGGGGAGGGGCAGAGGGAGAGAATCTTTCAAGCAGACACCCCTCCCCCCACCCAATAAAGAAGGAGCCTGTACCTGGGGCTCGACCCAAGACCCTTGGGATTTTGACCTGAGCCAAAACCAAGAGACGGTGGCCCAATTGACTGAGCCACCCAGGGACCCCTTATTATTTTGAGTATATTGTGGGCATCTTACCATTTTTAAAAAAATTATTTTTTTATTTGACAGAGATCACAAGTGGGCAGGGAGGCAGGCAGGGAGGCAGGCAGCGGGAGAGGTTGAGAAGTAGGCTCCCTGCTGAGCAGAGAGCCCAATGCGGGGCTCGATCCCAGGACCTGAGTTGAAGGCAGAGGCTTTAACCCACTGAGCCACCCAGGCGCCCACATATATCATTGGAGAAATGCCCTTATGTTGAGATAAGATTGCAGATAATTTATGACATTTTGCACTGGTTTACTACTATTCCAATAAACTCAGAAATGTAGTACTATTTGTTAAGAGTTAACATTTATTTTCAATTTTGAAAAAAGGTCTTGTTTTAATCTTACCATTTTAATAAAGATCTATATCATCATTTTAATGGCTAATGTTTTATTATATGGTTCCATGTACTACGTGATTTTTAAAAACAAACATGTTTATTAATATTTGTAGTTTATGTATTCGTGGGAGATATCCAGGGAAAGATGAGTATCTCCTGATTTTTTTGTTTACCAGTAATTTATTGTATATACTGGTCTCTCCTCCCAGTCTCTTCAGTCTTGAGCATACATTATTACAAATTTATTTCTTGAGATAGGTTTCTACTAGTGGAATTTCAAGGTTGTATATGGTATGTGTAACCTTTACATTTGGAAATGTGTTTTTTGTTTGTTTTTAGAAACTGATTTGCAATTTTTTTCCTAGTTGCTTTTAAATTTAAATGTGGGGGTGGGGGGATTACCTTTTTTTTTTTTGTTTTTTGACCTTGGTAAAATTGCTGTATCTGCTGGTGTGTAGAAAAAAGCCTTCTCTACCCTAAGGATTTTATAAAGGATATAAAAGACTTTATAAGGATATATTAAAAGCATATATTTTTTATGGGGGAGAGGGGCAGAGGGAGCGAGAAAATCTAAGCAAGCTTCATGCCCAGTGCAGAGCCTGATACAGGGCTCGATCCCACCACCCTGAGATCATGACCAGAGCCAAAATCAACAGTTGGACGTTTAACTGACAGTCACCCAGAGGCCCTTAAAACCACACATTTAAGAAGTAGTTTTGGCATTTACACTTGGGATAAATTAAAATACTGCAGGTTACACCACATTGCCTTATTTGCAATGGCTATGTAAAATATTTGAATTTTTAAGATTTTATTTTTTTAAGCAATCTCTATACCCAGCTGGACACTCAAACCCACGACCCTGGAATCATGAGTTACATGCATGCTGTACTTACCAAGCTGGCTGGGCATCCCTGTGTAAAAGATTTTGAGTAGCTTCTTGAATGTTGGGCAGTTTCAAAATCATTACATACATATCACCTCATTTGATCTTCACAACAACCTTCTAAAATAAAGCACACTGTGGGTGATCAAAGTGTACCTAGAGTTGGTTTCTTAGGCTGAACAGTAAGGATACATCAGGAGTAAGTAATTGTCATGTATGAAAACACAGGACAAAGAAAATTTAGCATCTTGTGATTTATGTTGCAAATATTAAACCTAAATGCATTATATATAATTATACCTAAATGCATTATATATAATTAGAGTGAAAGATAGCTTAGAGATCCTCTACTGTTACTTATACTGTAATGGACCATGTGTTGCAGTTAACATTTTTAAGAATAATAGAGTAGTAAAAATACCATTTTATCCTACCTAATAAGTTTATTCTAAGGAAACATATTCTGTGAAGCTTTTCTGTATTTTGTATATACAGATAACCCTGGTGTAAAATGTGTTTCTTATTGTGGCTCACAGTCAAAAACTTGAAAGCCACTAATCTAGCCCTGTGCCCTCATTTCATAGGTGAGAAAATTGAACTCATAGGTCTGATTTGTCAAAGTTTACTCCGGAGTAGATCCTTGGCCTTTAGACTACCTCCAAGGCCAGACCATTTTTGGTTTTTTTGTTTGTTTGTTTTTGTTTTTAAGATTTTATTTATTTATTTATTTGACAGAGAGATTCCAAGTAGGCAGAGAGAGGGGGAAGCAGACTCCCTGTTGAGCAGAGAGCCCTATGTGGGCCTCAGTCCCAGGACCCTGAGATCATGACCTGAGCTGAAGGCAGAAGCTTAACCACTGAGCCACCCAGGCACCCCTGTTTTGTTTTTTTTAACTGCTACAACTTAATGTCATTTAATGACGTCTGTTGTGGGCTTCTTCGGAGTTCATTATCTTAAGGCTATCTGTCAGTAGATGCTTTATGTTCATACTAACTTAAAACTTGAGTTGCTGATCTCTAAGCATAGTCAGGATTCTGGACCAAATTAATTAACGCCTACATTTTGTTCATATGCCTTTTCTTTTATAGATCCATGAAGTGCCATTTTCTCAGTCACCTGCTCCCATTCTGGGTCATGCCTCAGTAAATGCTCTGCCTTGGAGATCACACTCCATCCCATCTTGGGTGTTTGACTGTAGGGGAGAAGGCAAGTGTGTTTATTTTCCCAGTATCACATAGTTTTGTAAGATGTTGTTCTTTGTCCTGTGGAGTGTGACATATTAAAAAGAAACTTTACAAAAATGTGCGCTGTTGGGAAAGTAACAGGACTTGCCTTACCCTGTGTGCAGGCTAAAAATGAAGGTCAGTGGTGGGTGTGGCAGCGGCAGCAGCAGAGGCA